GGGCTCGCGTGAGGGTCGTGACAGTGTATGGGCTCACGTGAGGGTCGTGGCAGTGTATGGGGTCACATGTGGGTCGTGACAGTGTATGAGATCACGTGAGGGTCGTGACAGTGTATGGGCTCGCGTGAGGGTCGTGACAGTGTATGGGCTCGCGTGAGGGTCGTGACAGTGTATGGGCTCGCGTGAGGGTCGTGACAGTGTATCGGGTCATAGAGGGTCGTGGCAGTGTTTGGGGTCACATGAGGGTCGTGACGGTGTATGAGGTCACGTGAAGGGCGTGACAGTGTATGGGGTCACGTGAGGTCCGTGACAGTGTATGGAGTCACGTGAGCTCTTGTTGAAGGTCTTTGTGCTTTATAGATATCAGGGATAAAATTAACTAAAAGATCCAACATTCCAACCGTCTTCCAAACAAGAGCTAATCAACAATAATGAACCGAGAACTAATTCTATATATATAAACCATTACTTAACCTCCGTAAATGAAAATGCAAACTAGAGAAGATATTGATTCTTTGTCGCTTCTAATCCGAATACTTCATCTTGATTGCTCGCTCAGTAATCAACGGAGAGCTTTGATGCATTCGATCATGCTTACGGTAGGTTCATCCAGATCAAACAGATTGGCGACGCGATTAATTGAGTCAACAGCGACAGTGAAAAATCTATCCCCATCAAAAACAATATACACAGAGTAAAACGTGGTGTATGTACCTGGTACTCAGATTAGCTGTCACGGGCGTAATTACCCAACATAAGGATTTATCTCACCTGATCAGATGGTCAGAAGCATCCTTAGGGGAAGATAATAAGTTTTGTGTAAATGGTGGGTCTCAGTAGGAGTAGTGAGTATAAGATGGTCATGCGATCTTTAGGAACGCCAGTATTCTGTCCCAAATGTTGTATGAAAGGTGGGTCTCGGCGGCTTTGGACGGGAAGGAAGTTAATTTCAGTTGCAAATATATTGTATCTAGTAGGAGAGTGAACGTATTAAATGTTTTTGTTTTTAATTTGATAAGTACCAGGAATTCTTTCCCTATATCGCGATCAGCATTACTTCTCTTTATCAATGTAATAAAAAAGTGAATTCATTATCAAGTATGTTTCGCTGTTGCAGTAACACGGTCACAGCATGTCGTTTCATACCATGACATCGTCGTTTACGTCAATAAAACGGCACATTTTCACTTTGTTCACTGGATGTATCGCCCCTAGATCTCCTTGATGTAGCTGGTTGATATTTCACTGAACAATATACGAGAGATCCGTCGCATGCCCTCTAAAGTAGATTGGGTAAAGTCTATTGCTCAAGGTCACAACCATGACAGTACAGATCGGTCCGTATCTCAGAAATACGAACGATCACGTGGTAGGAAGTGTCACTTTGTCTCTTTATTGATGCATATGCAAAACTGGCCTTAATCATAATCAAATATGGTGTTGAACTTGTCTGTCATCCTATAACTGAGCCTTACATCACGTGCTTGGTTTATATATAAATCAATGTCAGCGAGTCATTTCATTTGAACACGTGTATATTTCAAATTGTTTCATGATGATCTCATCTTGTTCGAATGAAAAAACAAAAGACACGAAACAAAATGAAAAAAAAAACAAACAAAAAACAAAGATATCTCTTAAATTAGATAGTTTTTTCTCTCCTGAACAAACGGGGGCATTTGCAGGGTTGTCTCACTGAACAACATTCGGAACACGAAACAAAATGAAAAAAAAAAAAAAAAAAAAACAAACAAAAAACAAAGATATCTCTTAAATTAGATAGTTTTTCTCTCCTGAACAAACGGGGGCATTTGCAGGGTTGTCTCACTGAACAACATTCGGAAGGCCCGCCGCATCCCATCAGGAGCAATTAAAGTAAAATTGTCGTTCTTTAAGATAAAACCACGACAGCCAAAAAGGTTCATGGTATCAGGCTCCCGAGAAAAACCAGCACGAATTCCTATCTGTCCTTGAGTGCTAAGATGTCGTTAACAGATGACAAAAAGACAGCTGCATTCGGTGTTTGTTCTGTGTAATATGTGATAAACAAGAATCGCCTGTAACGAACGCCTTACACATTAAATGTTGACAGTTTCACATCACCAGGGCGATTTTGTGAGGTAAACAAAGTCTGAATAATGAAAGTCTACCTAAACAACAGGATGTTTTTGTTAGGTAATCATAATGACATCAAAACAGTTGATGGCTGGTGTGTAATTATCTCCGTATCCGACGTTGAAATAAATTCCCTCGCATGAAGAAGTTAAACAAATTGTTTTAAATACCTTTTTGTGTTTAGATTACAACAAATATCAGTATCAGTTTTTATGGCTGACCAACTTGACAAACCTTACTGGGGATATGTTGACGTAAAATGTTAAAAAGAGATGTAAAATGTCTCACATAAATAGATAGGGTATACATGTACTGATCATCTCTTACTAGTTGTCAAGAAGTAACTTTTTTTTTTTCATTTTCCTCAAGTCGTAATTTATCTGAAAATCACGTGACTTGTCCTTTCATGATGTTTACCAGATACACATGTTTTATTTATAGAAAACAATATTGTTTGTTTATCAAAAGATATGTTGTCATGGAGATCGTATATGATTATGCATGACACAATGTGGCTAGTCTATTTAAACGTAAACAAAAAAATCTTGCCGATATTGGTGACAAGTTTTCCCTTCTGTGGCGTTTACATCCATGCTTGTAGTATTCAGTCCATGTACCTCTGTAGAGGTGTATACGTGTTTTTATTTAACCTTAAAATGTGATATGGACGAGGTCAGTCAAAAACTCAAAACGAGTGTTAGGGTTTGGCTAGTTAGCTGGACGCTTGCCAAGTGTTGGTCAGTTAAACTCTCAAAACGAGTGTTAGAGTTTGACTGGTCAGTTAGACGCTTGTCAAGTGTTGGTCAGTTAAACTCTGAAAAACGAGTGTTAGAGTTTGACTGGTCAGTTAGACGCTTGCCAAGTGCTGGTCAGTCAAACGAGTGTTAGAGTTTGGCTGGACAGTTAGAGACTTGCCAAGTGTTGGTCAGTCAAACTCTCAAAACGAGTGTTAGAGTTTGACTGGTCAGCTAGTAAAGACTTGCCAGGTGTCACTGTTTTGAAATTATTTGCATCCGAAACGTTATAAATACCTAAATGATTTTATCATTTTTACGAGTGTTTGTTGGGCTCAGGAAACATTGTGTAGTATTTTCGAAATGACTTCACGTAGAAATGAATTAATAAATCAAATGAATGAATAAAGAAATAAAGCCACAGGTGTATCAATTACTATAGCCTGGATAGATGTATAGACCTAAACCAGGGCCGATTCTAATGCCGAGCTTTTCTATTGACCTTCACAACGCTGCTTGGTATTTGATTAAGAAATAATTTAATCCCGAGATCTTCCTGGAGATTTGTATACCTGATAATGGCGAATAATGGCGATTGTATTCCATCCTATATTGATGGATAATCACCTTGATCGGTAACTGATGACGTCATAAACAATTCCTATTATCACGTCAATCCGATCAACGTGTGAATGATACCCATGGGAATAATCCTAATCACTGTTGCTAAGGCCAGAAGAGTTCGCGAACAGAGCATCTAAAACAGGAAATTAAGATATGAATAGATCTATCAAATATTGAACAGCTATTATTTCATGCCCTCATGACCCCATTTTTCTATGCACTAGTTGCTGTTAAAATATCTATTTTCGTGGTTTTCCTAAAATATACATTTTCGTTGGTTAAACATTGCTCATGAAATGCGCATGTACATGAATTATGATCCGTGTCAGCTTTATCCGTATATTATCTCGCGGACATGAATTTGTCAATCTAGAGAAATCACGAATTCATCGAAAATAAATCCCCCACGAAAATATTTTTTTTAGGTATCTCGATGATCTGAGGTATTCAAATAAATGACAATTATAGAAATCTACAGTATCAGAGAGTGTACTAGGAATTTAACAGACAAAAACAGAGAAAATGACACGAAAGGAACTGACAAGGTCTTTGTAGTACCTTTTCGACGTATTTTATTTGAAATATATTTAGATAAAGACCATATTCGCATAAATATAGAACCAAGTTAGTCTCGAGAGAGAAATAGTTTTGATCAGTTGATTTTGCCAAAACATTATCAAAAAGAAATTTCAGTCATCACTTTAAGGAGTCATAATGGCAGCTCTTATAAATGTACCCTCGAACAAAGCCCTACAATATCTGTTGTTTGCAAGGAAACCAAATCGCATCACCTCTAGGTTTCCGGTAATTTTTGGATAACAGAGTTGTCGTTCTTTAATGAATGTAAGGAACGACAACTCTGGATTGATCTTATGTTCGCAAGATATCCATATGAGGTACTTGCCATTTTTATAGGGTTGTCGAGGATGACAATGTCCAGTGTTGTATAGAATTTGAGAATAAGATTTATTTTTTACACTGAAACAAATAAAAAAGTATGAATTGTTCCGAAAGGATGAATATTCCACTGAAGGCCAAAATTGAAGGAGCTTCAAAGGAGATTGTAGTAAAAGATCTGACCGTTATGAGTATAATGTGACCAGGTGGATGTAATCTGTAATACTGGGTGTATCCTACTGGGTGTATCCTACTGAGTGTATCCCACTGGGTGTATCCAACTGGATGTATCATACTGAGTGTATCCTACTGGGTGTATCATACTGGGTTCCTACTGGGTGTATCATACTGGGTGTATCCTACTGGGTGTTCCCACTTTCAGAAGGAGCCTTCCACAAACACACGAGCTCTACACTCGCCTTCGCCTAGGGAGGTCGTCCTTAAATCACCATAGCTACAGATACTATGTAGGATATTATAAAATATCAAGTCCAAACAAATTAAAACCGGAAGTTGAAGTATTTTCTGTTTCATCAGACAGTATTAATTAACCATCCGTTGAAGGTCATTATATATTTTTGTTTTAAGACGACGCCAATCCAATGAAATCTGGTTTATTTTTTGTTTCAGATTATTTTAAGTCGGTTCTGTGGCTCCAGAGACATCCATGAACTGATAGCACAAGCAGCAGGAGTCAGTAGGTATGTTTTAGATTTGTTATAAACGTCACAGTTGGTGACGTGGACGCCACAGTTGATGACGTGGACGTCACAGTTGATGACGTGAATGCCACAGTTTAATAGCCGGAATCACCTGGTGCCACAGGATGTGTTGTAAACGTCACATTTTGTGAGTTATTTTGCACCAGTCAACAATATTTCACAAACACCATTTCGGCGAAGCGCGTGACCAGTGACGTATGATGTATATTTAACCACTTTCGTGATCATGGTAGTTGCTACATTTACTCCATTCAAACCGATTTTACTAATTTTTTTTATCGTATTTGACATACATCATTCTCAAAAACATCCAGACGTTTCTGCATTTTTACTTGATAAATAGACTGAAAAATCACCATAACGCTAAGGACAATAGTCGGGTTTAACTGAAAGTTGGTATGAAACCTGAACTTAATATAAATTTTCAAACCGATCAAAATCCGTAATTTCCTTTCAACTTTAATATTTTTCTTGGTGTTGTAGAGAGATAAATCGACGTAAACAAACTAATCATATCTTAATATGAAAATGTAAAACAGATTTGAAATTATTTTGCCGGCAAGACCAATCACAAAGTTGACATACATTATATACCATATTAGAAAAGATCTGAAGTACCTTAATTTATCAGACTGTAACTAGAATCGACAGTCTGTGTATGAATACAGCCAGATCACAGGTAGGCAGCAATGGCTACCGGTCATATTTGGTACTAACAATTTACATTGCTAGACTTAAATTAAACTTTAATTAGAGCTCTTCACGAACGATAAAAGAAACTGTACGAAGCTATACGATATGGATGAACAAATTTATTTTCAAAGCCGTGATTTTCCACATTATTAGATTTTAAACGTACGAGATTACCAAGTTTGTCTATATAGCCTTTTAGACGTTGATATGGCAGTCTACTGAGGATATCCGTTTTTAGCAAAATGTTCTAGTGTATCGTTTATCGCTTATTGATAGGAGCGGCTTTCCATTTAGAGTTTCCATGGTAACTGGTAAACACTAGACACTACAATCGGACTGAAAGCCGCATCATTTCTTAATTACATGTCACTGCTTGATAATGTAATGGACTTTTATTCCATATAAACAGGAAATGAAATATTTCTTTGTGAATCATTTTGAGAATTGTTAACAGTTTGATATAAAATGTTAAATTCTGGTTCACAATATTCTTGTTTATGGTTTGAACGTACATACAAAGCGAATGTCAATAGGAAAGTTAATTTTTGTTTTTGTTGTCAACGTCAATTGTGTATAATGCAACTGTCACGTGATTATGATATCAATGTCACGTGTTTATGATGCCAACGTCACATGTTTATGTCAACAACGCATGTTTATGATGTCGACGTCACATTTTATGATATCAATGTCACATGTTTATGATGCTAACGTCACATGTTTAAGATGTCAACGTCACTTGTTAATGATGAGACAAAATCAAATTAGTTCAAATTGTGTCATTCTCAAAAACACATTATAGACGGAATAGTTATCTCGTCATAACTGTTCTGTTCATTATAACGAGACATTGTTATTTCGAGATCAGAGAAATATTCGAAATGACACGTTTGTTTGTTTGTTTGTTTAATTAGTGTATAGCCCCGTTAACGGTCAGGGCCATTTAAGCGGGGTATCCTTGCAGATGCTTCAAGCTACCTTGTTGAACAACATACGGGAGGCACATCGCATATTATTCAAATCAATACGGGTAAAATGTAAAAAGTAACTTGCCCAAGGACACAATCTAAACTTCTTTTGCAACACACCTTTAGAGGTAGGGACGTCGGACCATATATCTCGGATCGTGATGTTACGTACGCCAATGTTATTCCTAGGTATCTGTACAAAGCACCATATTACATATAAACAATGGCGGTCTCATCGTAGTCCGAAAATTATATTACGTCAAAGTCAATTGGAGGCCAACCCAAGTCATAATCTTCCTGGTCACATCCGGGTAGTCACACCGATGTATATGCAATACTTCTGGAGGTATTAATTTCCTGGTGACTCAGGGGGTAAATTCCTCGTTACATCCGGGGCCCATTTTTATTACTGGTAAAGATATTCCAGGTTACATCCGGGACCGTTTCATACTGCTATAAATATTAAAATTACATAATATCCTTAGTTACATCCGGGGACTCATTAATAAGGCTAATGGTGCCCATAGTTTCATCTGGGACCCTTTGATACCGTTATAGATATTCAAATCAAATAATATCTTTATATCCTTAGTTACATCCGGGGACTCCTAAATAAGACGAATAGTATCCCTGGTTACATCCGGGATCCTTTGATACGGCTATAAATACTCAAAGGATATAATATCCTTTGTTACATCCGGGGACTCATTAGAAAAGCTAGTGGTATCCCTGGTTACATCTGGGACACTTTAATACTGTTGATATAGTAAAACCCTGGATTCTGTCATCCAGCTGGATAAATCAAGTAGCCAATTTATTATGTGTTTAATCAGGTATCCATAGCCACGAGTCCGTGGGCGTGTCCACGGTTTGATCCATATAACCATTCCAGTTTGCTAATCATTGTTCATTACAACTGCTTTATTTTCCATCTTTTAGCCTTAAAATAAATATTAGTTGTGTGAGGTTGTGAGATAATAACTTAGGTTTAAATACCGCATTTTGTTGAAATGTCTTTAATGAGAACACTCGCCCTAGATATCTACAATTATCTGGGAAATTAACATCTGTTTACAGTTCAGTGTTTAATCTTTTCAGCAAAGCTTTTAATTTGAAGATTTAGTCAATAATAAATAGCATCTGATCTATGGCCTGAAATACAGGTTCATTTAAATATTGACGTAACTGATCTAATTGGCGAATTGGTAAACATAGATCTCCAACAGTACAAAATAAACAGTTACTTTATGTACTACAGACATAACAGTTACCATGGTCCTTCTGTAGTACAGACATAACAGTTACCATGGTCCTTCTGTAGTACAGACATAACAGTTACCATGGTCCTTCTGTATACAGACATAACAGTTATCATGGTCCTTCTGTAGTATGGACGTAACAGTTACCATGGTCCTTCTGTAGTACAGACATAACAGTTACCATGGTCCTTCTGTAGTGCAGACATAACAGTTACCATGGTCCTTCTCTAGTACAGACATAACAGTTACCATGTCCATTCTGTAGTACAGACATAACAGTTACCATGGTCCTTCTGTAGCACAGACATAACAGTTACCATGGTCCTTCTGTAGTACAGATGTAGCCATGGTAACATTTTATATGATAAGGTGATGATAAAATTTCATCTTTTTTTTAGCAGATATATAGTTGTGCATAAAGTCAATAGAGGATCTCGGACTTCAACGACAATAGGAAATAAATTAATTTGATAAAAACTACAATAAAAACATCACAGATGACTATAAATAGCCGAATACTGCATGCAATTTCCTGCCGGAGTCTTCGTGTATTCATAACAACGCTGATTACCACGTTCCATCGGGACGTGTCGACAATTTAGAACCTTCATCTACCAGCCTTAAGCTTGTTGATCTTCACGAAAGTGTTTCCAATAATACCTAGTGTTTACCTTGCCGATTTATCGTTGTGTCAGAATATTGGATATCGATCTGGTTCTCCGTAATGGCGCCAGATCCGTCCCTCTAATTAAGATAAAATACACAGAACATGATAACGGACAGTCACAACCGATTACTCCCGAATGTATACGATTAGGCCATGATGGGAAGATGAAACTATTATCCAGAACATCTCAGGACATTCTGTGTCAGCCCGGGCTGTTCTCGATAGGCATATATCTATGGATTTTGTGGATATCGTTACCGAAATACAGCACATAGGATCTCGTTAGTGTCAATGTGTAGCTGGACCTGCCCTGTAGTTGTGTATATTAAGCATTTTAGTTCGAAAATCATCATCTGGTGAAAAAACCCCAACCCTTTCCTATTTCCGTTATGCAGAGTTATCTGCTCTTGTTAGCAGTATTGATATTTACGTCATTGGTTTGTTAGTGTAACGTCATGAGAAAATGACGTAATTTTCTCATGCAAAATTATGACATAACCACCAATAAATACTTACAAGAGCAGATAACTCTGCATTAGGAAAAGACGGAATAATTTCTGATAGTTAAATAGCAGCTACCTACAAATGTACTCTAAAATTAGTTACACATACTTGGTCGTATTACATGTAGGTATAAAATGTTAAGTCTATATCAATTAAATTCAAAATTACATCAAATGTTTTATACTATATGTAAACATAAGTATATTTATAAGTGAAAGTTAAATAGCATAGATGGTATTCATAGTATGTAAGGTGAATTGAGTATTTATATATATATAATATATATGTACTTGGGTATGTAGAACTATGTTGTCCGTATCATATATCTAAAAAGTGTGACGTAATCACATACTAGACAACTGAACAATTTATGAGGTGTATAAGTCACGTGGGAATGCGTGGGCCATACTGCTATTTTGTTTTATAGATAAAATGAATTGAAATGAACTAAACCTTATTAAGCATAAATTCGTTTTTGGTGCACTGTTCTATTCCTCGGATGTCTTTTAATGGGGTTGGTTTAACGGTCAGGTCCCCGGTAATGGTATGTCGCAACCGTTGATGAAGTAACGAAGATAAACAATTAGGAGTACCGCGTACAGATCTAATGAAAAGAATCTTCAGTCTGATACTCCGGGTAAATAGCCGCCATTGTTTCCGGAAGGTGTGACCGCACGCGACAACCATACCCCAGTAATTAGTAATCGTGAATTATAGATTTATTTATAGTACGTTTTTATCATCATGTGGCAAATTACACTGCGAATTTAACATGTTGATATGACACTAGCACAGCTAACTGTATATTTGATTTGCTTGTAATTGGTTACGCTATTTCACCTTAAACCTTTTCATTACCGGCCGTGTGTTTACGAGTAGGCCCTTTCT